ATATATATATATCCTGAAAGCCTGGGGCTATGGGCATGGATCAGATCAGCCAGGGCTGAGCCTGTTGCTGGGGACAGGCACTTCGTCATCCTGAGCTAGGAGACTGTCTCATGGGACACATTGGGAGGAGGGCAGTCCCGAGCTGAGGTCCAGATGGAGTTCCCAGGGGAAAGAGGCCATGGCCCAGGTTTGTTTGGGACAAAAGCATTTCCTGTTTGGACAAGGCTGGGTAGATGGCTGTTCCCCACACCCCATGCCCCCCTCCAAGAGGTTCCTGTGTGTGTGTCTCCTGTGATCCCTCAGTGTGTGGACCCAGCTCCCTGCCTGTCCACATGTGCTCTGTCTTCTTCAGCCTCCAGATGGAAGCCCAAGTTTGTGCCAAGTTCTCTCACCCCAAAGAACCCTCCTGTGGGACTTGACCAGAGGAGATAATACTATTTGATTGGTAGCCCAGGGCCTGCCTACCACTGTCCAGCAGCCCTGAGCCTCACATCTGGGGCAAACTGCTGCCTCCCGGGTGGCAGAGCCTAGCCTGTGGTCAGCCTGGAGGGCTGGGGAACAGAAGGAGCTGCTGTTAAAGCTGGCAGCTAAATGGTCTGGTTTTGGCAAGCAAGAAGACCAGGCTCCTGGAGGGAAGCTTCAGCCACAGGGACAAGCCCTAAGACTCTCTCAAGACAGAGATCACTCTGCCCCAGCTCTGTGGACGCAGAAACCTCCAGTAAACCCAAAGCCCATCCCTGAGATACACCCTGCCTTTCTGAACCTCTGGAGTGAGAACCCACTATTCATCATCACCTCAGCCTCTGACCCCTAAGACCACCTCAGGGAAATAGAGGCCATCTCACCTTTGCAGAAGAGGGGTAGGGTCCTGTCTCTGGTCACACAGCTCTCAGCGGGCACAGAACAACCTGGTTGTGTTATAAATCAGCATTCCAGACTATGGGTTTCCAGCCTCAGTAAGTCAGGCTCTTCACCGTGGGGAAATAATGTTAAGAGCTTTTTCTGAAAGGGAAAGTGGTCATCTCGAGCTGCAGGGAGCTTCTCTGCACTTGGTGATCCATCCGTTAAGGAACTTGGGCACCCTAACTTACAGGAGTGTTACAAATGTGCTAACAGAGGTGCGGGCCTTCCTCCTGGCTGATTGCATGCACTGCAGCATGCTCTCTGCAGAGCCCCTGGGGTCATGGGGTTCCTGGCACCTCAGACAGACCTGGGTCCATCAGTAGAATGAGCATTTAAGGACAGACTCAAGATGCTGATCTGCCTGGAGAAAAACAGGGCTAAGTTTGGAGGTATAGACCAGGTCATAGGTTCAATTCCCAATACTGTACAAAACAAGACAAAAACTCCCAAGGAATAGCCAGGGAGTCAAGGGACTGATTGATTTAGTGTCAAAAGACAGCACACATCAGGTGTCAACAATCTCATCGAAGGGAGGCAGGCACCCCTATGGGGCCAAGTTAGGCCCATGGCCATGCCCTTGGAAGGAGTTGGGAGATTTGGACCATGATCATCCAGGACATCATAAGCCTGCCCAAAGACTTACAAGGACCAAACAAGAAACTGAGGCTCTGACACAGGGAGGACTTGCATAAGCCAGAACAGTCAAGAGGCAGGGTTGGAACAGCACCCACTACCTGGCCTCTTGGAGACAGTGCTGGGGTCTGTCTTCCTCTGCAAAGGACTCTGGTTATGCCCTAGCCCTGACTCTAGCCAGGACCTGCTCCTACCCATGGGTCCAGAAGAAGCAATCCCCAGGAATCAAACTGTTTTGTTTCCTCGAAGAGATGGGCAAGCAATCACATGAATGGCCCCCTAGCACAGCTGAGCTGGGCAAAGCTTCCCTGGCCTAAGCTGCTCACTCCAGGGCGAGTAGCAGACACTCTTCTGTGACCTCCCTTAATGATGACACTGCCCTCGGGTAATACCCAGTACTACCAAAAATACTCACTAGAGCTGGGCACAGTATCGAACCAGCACTCAGGAGGCAAAGGCAGACAGATAGACATCTGTGCGGTTAAATCTAACCTGATATATATCATGAGTTCCAGAGCAAGCCAGGACTATATAGAGAGGGCTCAACTAAAGAAAGAAAGACAACAGATCAGACTACATATTCACATATACATCCTAACATACACATATTACACAAACATGATATGCATGCATACAAGCACCTCACACATGCATAATCACGCTTGCCACACAAACACGTACATTGTTCATTCAAATATGACGTACATAAGCAAGTACTGCCCATGCTCACAATCACACCGTTTACATGCAGACACAGCACATACGTGTATGCAGCGCCGTGCATGCACACATTATCCATGCACACAAATAGTCTGTCATGCGTAGTCTGCAGTGGCAGACTCCTCACACCTGCTTTGCCTCGTGGAACATGCTTGAGCCCTACTCAGGCCCCCGGCTCTCAGTCAGTACTTACCTTAGGGAATGGGAAACTGAGGCCCATACCAAAATGCTGTCTACACTTGTGTGTAAGAGGCCCAAACATTGAGATGAGGGGATTGTGGGTCTAGCGTACTCTGGGCCTTAGCGTCTTCCTGTAAAACAGGTATAAGGGTGCTTGGTCACTGCACTTAGGGAACGCCCAAAGAGTACCTGGGCCTCGGGTTTCTCATCCATAAAATGGGCAACTTGGCCAGCCCAGCAGGGAGAGATGAAAGCTCCAACCAGGGCAGGATGTATGGGGTGAGATGCCTGGGACAATGGCACAGCTCGTGCAGGAAGCCTGTGTTGGGTCGATTGGAGGATCCTGTGTGTTTCGGGCAAAGATGTCAAAGTGTGTGCGTCCAGAGGGGATCGTTAAATAGTGGTGGGTTCGGGCCCTGGCAGCGTTGCGGGGGGTGAGGGGGCGGGGGCGGCCAGGGCCTCAGTTTCCCTGTCTGCTGCTCAGGTGAGCACCTGGAGGGCGTCCTGGCGGGGGCGCAGACGGCTTCCGGGTTGGCGGGGGCGGGGGGCGAGGGGCGGGCGAAGCCGAGCGCCCCCGCCCTGCTCCGCCCGGAACCGGCTCTGCGCGCCGGCGGCTGCGGCGGGGACGACAGCATGGGCGGCCCGCGGGCCTGGACGCTGCTCTGCCTCGGGCTCCTGCTCCCGGGAGGCGGCGCCGCGTGGAGCGTCCCGGGCGCCCGGTTCTCGGGTCGCAGGTAAGTCTCCCCTAGCTCTGTGCAATCCCAGCACTGGGGTGAGGGAACCGGACCCCAGCTCCGTGCAACCCTGGGATTGGGACAGAGACCCGACCCCAGCTCCGTACAATCCCGCGATTGGGACAGAGACCCGACCCCAGCTCCGTACAATCCCGCGATTGGGACAGAGACCCGACCCCAGCTCCGTACAATCCCGCGATTGGGACAGAGACCCGACCCCAGCTCCGTGCAACCCTGGGACTGGGACAGAGACCCGATCCCAGCTTCGTGCAGCTGGGACAGAGACCAGATCTCAGCTCCGTGCAACCCTGGGACTGGGACTGGGAACTGGACCCCAGCTCCGTGCAATCCCGGGACTGGAGCAGGGACATCGGGGGCAGTCCGGGACTGGAGCAGGGACATCGGGGGCAGTCCGGGACTGGAGCAGGGACATCGGGGGCAGTCCGGGACTGGAGCAGGGGCTCCATGTCTCATCTCTATACCACAACCAGTAGGAGCAGGGACTTGGCATGCCGTGCTCTGGAGAGCCGGCTCACCTACCTCTGTGTGAAAGAACAGACAATTTCCCCTACTCCTGAGACCCCTGAGGCCCCAGAAGGTGGACCCATGTATGTATGTAACAGAGCCCCCCAGGACTTCTGTGAGTCTGCCCCCCCCCCATGTACATGTAGAATGCCAGGGTCACCCCTTAGGCAGCCCTTCAGAAATCCCCTCCCTTTTCCCCTGTTACTATCTTTTTTTAATGTCCCGGCTATTTATTTCGCTCAGAGGAAGGACTGGGGTGGAGTCTGCACAGTGGGTCAGTGTCAGAGGCCCCCTGGGACCTGGCATTTAGTTGGACCTCCCAATAGCATATGACTCTCGCCGGCCTTTGTGGAGTGTTTCCCAGGATCGGGTCCTGTGGAGCCCTTTCTAGACTGCCCTTCAGGACTGAAGGATGTAGGGAAACTTGTCCCCATTCAGTAGAGGGACACACTGAGATGGCTCATGGTGGGTATACATGGAAGAACTGGGATTCACCTCTCCCTTTCTGGTCTTGATGGCAGAGTTTGAAGCTGTCCTGGGCCCCCCCCCCCCCGGTCTGCGTGCAGCCCCTGCCCCTGTCTCCAGGGCAGACAATGTGGACTAGCCAGGCCTCTTAGGCCTTTCAGTCCATTCAAAGGCCAGTGAGGGCCCCACCCCCCTGTGGCCTCACTTCTTTCTTTTTTAGAAGTTTTCCTTTCTCAGTGGTCAGAGGCCAGCAACCCCCCTGGGAGCTAGCAGAAGCAGGTGACAATCCAGGGGTAGAAGTGGCTGAGGCAGCAGAGGCCAGAGGAGCAGTTAGCTGTCTGAGATGGGGACAGCCGTGTGGCACATGCCACAGCACCCCTACAGTGTGCCAACCACAGCTGGTGTGGGTTGGCACTTTTCCTGCATTCGTTGCTTCTAGAACCTTCCCAGCTGCCATCCAAGGCTCCTTCTCTCATGCTGACTGTTTTATAGAGAAAGAAACAAAGGCTCAGAGTAGAAGATTACCTGTCCCACTTCATAGAATAAGCCCCTACATAAGAGAGATTAGGAATTTGGGCTTCCTGGGGTCAGACGTGGGGTAATGGGTGAGATACCCGTCTCCAGGCAGCCCAAGACCACAGCTCGCATGTTGTACTCTGTGTCCCCGGCTTCCTGTGTGGGAACTTTGCCTGTGGGCTGGTATCTGGGCTTCACGGGGGTCTGTCCCTCTTTATAGAATGCTGTCCCAGCAGTCTGTGTCACTAAGCCCTTCTTCCAGCACCCCACTCATACCCATTTTATAGACACAGAGACTCGTGGCCATGAGCCTCAGTTTCTCTTTTGCTTAGCCTGTGTCTGAAGGTCTGTTCAGAGAGTGAAGACCAGCACAGGCCACGCACACAGAGCCCCACTGTTCCCACCTTTAAGTAGGGTAGGGACTGGAGTCATCTATGGTCCTTGGCTGTCGGGACCTCCCCTCATGGCCCTGTCCCAGCATCTTGGAGACAGCATGGGGATGTTGCACCCCGTCAGCCCTCCCTCCACTCCCAGCCAGGCGCCCCGGGCACCCCTTGGCAGCTGAGGGACTGAAGGCAGAAAAGAGGCTTTGTGCCTGAGGAGGGGGAGGCCCGGGAAGGCATCCAAGGGGCCACCCCCAACCCCAGGAATGTGGTGAGGCTTTGAGCCCCTACAACTAGGGTGCCCAGGGGCTCTACAGAGCCACCTTGAATCACTCGGCTGCTGCCAGTCCACATCCCGTAGTAGAGCTGCTTCCTGTCCCTGTGACATCCCTCTCCGCCTCAATCCTATTTCTTTGAATGGTCCAGCATTCACAAATCCCAGCCCTATGCCCACATGGCTAACCCCAGGCAGGCGCCTCCCCCCAGACCCTCAGTTTCCTGCTGTGTAAAACTCATGGAACCTTGAAAAGATATGATGCTGGTGTCTTGGGTCTCTAGGGAAGACCCTGTCGGCGTCCAGCTGGGCTGTCGTCTGCCATGGCTGACTGTGGCACCCAGGCCAGGAAGAATGGATGGTCGGAGGGAGGCTGAGCACTTTGCATGGAAGCCGTTCTGCTCTCCCCATATGCAGATGGGTACAGCAAGGTCAGAACCAGTCAAGGTCATGTTCAGGGAAAGTGTCCCAGGATTAGAGCCACACCCCAGTGTGGTCCGGGTTCTGGCTCTGTCACCCCACCCCTACCTCAGCCTCAGTTCTTTGCTCTCCTTTTCATAACGGCCCTTGGCCCCTGGCCCGCTCGGCTGCCTCCTGTAATTAGTTCCCATCACTGTTCCGGATCGCAGCCCTGGGCCCTGTGGAGACAAAGTCCCCAGGGCCCCTCACCGCGGGGAGTGGAGGGCGGTATGTAGGTCCACTAGAGAGGGTGGTTGGTGCCAGGCTGAGCTGGTCTGCCCTGTTTTTTCCCCTCTCAGTGGCCTCTGGAGGCTCTGGGGGTGCTGAGTGGGTCGAGGTGGGGGGCCAGGGAGGGTTATGTTGTCTCCTCCCGATCTCACCTGGCTCTTGGGTACCTTGTCACTGACCACACCTCAGGGAAGGAAGACCTCAGGGGTGGTAAGGGTGTCGCTCTGAAAATCTCGGGTCTTGGATTCTCTGCCCAGCCCACCTGTTCAGTCATGCAGCCAATTAATAAACACCCTGAGCAGGCCCGGGGTTGACTTCTGTACGGACTTGGTCCTGGGTTTGCCCTCTTCCCCACACTCATGGGAGAGAGTATGGCTCAGAGCTACTGTACCTGTGTGGATTTTGAGGTTAAGACTCAAGGGATGAATAGGAATTGCCAGAGTGAGGGGTGGAGCTAGGTAAACAGATTCTGAAGATCAACGTGGGAGGAGGGGCAGCATGGCCACGTGAGTGCTCAAGAGGTGTGAGCAGCATGAAGGACGGAAGCAACGGGGCTTGGGGACAATGCGGAGCTGTGGTAGACTGAGTGACCACACATGATAGATGCTTTGAAAAAAAAAAAAAAAAAAAAAAAAAGCGCTTGCACAGACCACTGAGATGGCTCAGCAGGTAAAGGTGCTTGCCCAAGCCTGACAAACAGTTCAATTCCCAGGACGCATATTAGAAAGAACAAACTGACTTCCACAAGTTGGCCTCTGACCTCCATGTACGTATTTAGGCATGTGCGAGTGTGTGTGTTCACACTCACACATACATATACATGTAATATGCACACACAAACGCATATACCCACACGCATACACATAAATACACACACAAATGCACATGCAAACACATAGACATATATGCACACACATGCATAGGGATGCATACATTCATATGCACAAGCACATATGTGCACATATGTAAATTAAATGTAAAACAACAACAAGAAAACCCTCCTGATATTCCTGAAAGTGGGCAAGGGTAGGCCTCAGGCTTATGCTGTGGCCTGTGAGGCTGACCTTGAACCCCACCTGGTGAGTGTCCCCTCCTCTACAAAATATCTGGCCAGCTACTGGCTCCAAATGTCCTTCCTTGGGATTAAGGCCAAGTTCACCATGTGGCAAATAAGAACAGCACGAGACCTTTAATTAAGGGGAGGAAATGTCTCCCTCTAGGGAAAAGGACACACTGCCCCTAGCCTGGTCTGGAGCTGGGTGAGGGGTGTGCACATGCATGTGACATGCATGTAACTCATGGATGAGTGTGCACAGACTCTAGTGCATGTGAGCCCTGCTGGGCCTGCCTCTGCCAGTTTGTGTATGAGCGCGTATGTGTGCACACTATACGGCACTGTGTGCTCCTGTGGAAACAAGCACAGGACATGGCCTCTGTCTGTCCACAGGGTGTATGTGTGTGTGTGTGTGTGTGTGTGTGTGTGTGTGTGATACATTTGCATGGTGGGCAGGCTTTTCTACAGGAACATGTTCTGTTGTGTGGAGTGTGACCTTTGTGTACAAATCTGTTTGCTTTGTGGGTCTGTGCATGTCCTTACCTACACATTTCCAAGCATTTATAGGTGCACATACCCTTGAAAGTGCTTCTACCTGTGTGTGCACAGAAACAACCCCCAAGCTGTATGTGTGAGCTTACATACCACAGACGATGCTCATCAGGGGTCCCTGAGCCTCGGGCTTCCAAATTCACACAGATGATCGTCTCTCCCTTCCCTTGGGAGCCCTGGACCAGCCCAGCGTTGGACTGGATGTTAAGTTTTACACACTTGGAGGGACGTGCTTGTGTTCCTACTTTCAGAACACAACCCAACAGCCTCCAGGCCAGCTCTCGGGATCGGAGCCTCTACATGGTGGAGACTTGTTTTTTTTCTTTATCTTTCTTTTTTTTAATCTCTAAAATTATCGTATGTGTCTGGGTTTGGTGATTCACACCTTTAATCCTGGCACACTGGAGGCAGAGGTAGGTGGATCTCTGCAAGTTTGAGGCCAGCCTGTTCTTCTTTTTTTTTTTTTTTTGGTTTTTCGAGACAGGGTTTCTCTGTGGAGCCCTGGCTGTCCTGGAACTCACTCTGTAGACCAGGCTGGCCTCGAACTCAGAAATCCACCTGCCTCTGCCTCCCAAGTGCTGGGATTAAAGGCGTGCGCCACCACCGCCCGGCCAGCCTGTTCTTCTACATATTGATTCCCAGGGCTGCTAAGAGACCATGTCTCAAAAAACAGCTATATCACATAGTCTCTCTCTCTCTCTCTCTCTCTCTCTCTCTCTCTCTCTCTCTCTCTCTTTCTTTCCCTCCCTCCCTCCCTCCCTCTCTCTCTCTCTCTCTCTCTCTCTCTGTGTGCGCGCGCGCACGCACACGTGCATGTGTGTGTGTGTCGGTGTGTGTGTGTCAGTGTGTTGGTATATACTAGTGTGGAGGTCAGAGGACAACTTTGGGAATTGGTTTTCTCCTCCACCCTTATACGGGTTCCAGGGATCCGACTTCCATCCTCAGGCATTTACAGCTGAGCCATTTGTCATTCTTTTTTGTTTTTCTGTGGTGGGAGTCTCCTGGGCTAGGCCAAAGGGACTCAGCCTCCAGAGTGCAGGAACTGCAAGTGGCATCAGCTTGGCCAGGGACTGCCATGGATGGAGCCAGCCATGCTCCTCCCTTGCTCCTCTCACTCCCTCGGGACCTGCTGTGGTTAACAGCCCATCCCCTACTCCCCTTATCATGCAGAATTAGGCAGCTGGTTTGTGCTTGTCCCTGCCTGTGGATGTGAGAGGTCAGGCCCTGCCTCACCGATTCTGATGTCCCCTCTGTGGGATAGCCCTACGCACAGACAACCGACACGTCCATGTCTGGATGCCAGATTGCACACGCTGGACCCTTGCTACATGCTAGGGTTATTTAAATGGTTCTCTACTAAGCCAGAAAGACATCCCTTCATTTTAGAGGGGAAACTGAGGCCCCAGAAAGAAGATAGCATGTCACCATGCTGGGGCACAGAGCCAGAGTTGAGCCCAAGAATGTGGATAGCCAGGCTGGCCTTTGCCTCTGTTTCAGAGGTATTAGTTCCATCTTCTCCCGGTGTTGGTTGAGACATGGTCCATGGCTCTGTGAAGGTCCCAGCCTGGGAACCTGCTGACCTTGGGCTCCAGGCCACAAAGAGCCTCTCCTGGGGAAGACAGCCCCTGCTGAGAAAGGCCACCTGACACCATCTCCTCCTTCCTGTGTCCCAGCAAATTACCCTGGGCTCCTGACCTCAGGCTGGGCTGCTGAACACCTGGAATGTCCCTGTCCCCCTCCCTGTACCAGCCCAGTAGCCCCCCACTTCCACCCAGCTGCGCTACCTCTACCCCACCCCTAGAAAGAGAAAGCCTCAGTGTGAGGCTATGGAAGTTCCCCTCATCTCTCTGAGCCTTGAAGAACCAGCCAAGGTGAGGGAAAGTCCAGGGGGAGGGGAAGCTGATGGAGAGGGAGGAAGGCTTAGCAGGAGCACTTTCTGACCCAGGGAAAGGTGAGTATTGTCCCAGTGCTGGGGGTAGAACAATCCCGGGACTAGCCTGAGCAGCTATAAGACCGAACCGGCTGTCACACACAGTCAAGCTACTGAACAAGAGCCCTTCCAGAAAGAGCGAGAGCTTGTGGAACGGTGCATGCATGTGGTCCCAGAGTTAGGAGGCAGAGGCAGGAGGATCATTGGGACCAGCTTGAGTTACTTAAAGAGATTCTGTCTTAAATGAACCAAAAATAAAGTAGAAAGAGACAAACAAGCGATTTGCTTCCGCGCATGCGTAGATAGGTGCGCGTGACCGTAGGCTAAATGATCCTTGTCAAACTGCCACCTCTGGTGCAGAGCGCTGTCCATCTAGACACTCATGACAGCCTGCTTGGGACACTTGCTGCAGCACTGCTGTGCCTGGCCTTCTGCAGTTCTTCATTTATGTCTTTGCATCCTGATGTAAGTCCCACTTCTCATATGGGGAAGACCGAGGGAGGCTACAGTGGTCTCTGTGGGTAGCTGCCAGTCATGGCTCAGCTCCAGTGGAGCCCACAGCTTGCTTTTTAATCCATGACTGAAATGTTTCTCCTAAGAAATAGGTGAAGATTTCTATAACTTTGAAAAGGTATGCGTCAACTGGCGGAGCAGTAGCTCAAGGTTGGAGAACCCACAGAGGAGGCAGAGCCCCCGCGACTGTACCCCGCCCCACCCTGCTCCTCGTTCTCTGAGGCCCCCTGGGAGCCCCCAGCATGACCCCATCTAGGACTATGGAGTTCACCTGTGAGCTGCAGGCTCTGTAAAGCCACCACCTAAAAGACACAGAGAGTCTGGTGGTCTCTGCCTGGAGACTGAGGGCTCCGGAGAACACATGGTCCCCTCCACCCATCCTCTTGGGAGTCCTGGGCCTGCCGCTTGAGCTTCCCTCTTGTGGGTTTGTCTCAGGAACTGGTGCTCCTACGTGGTGACCCGGACCGTCTCCTGCCATGTGCAGAATGGTACCTACCTCCAGCGAGTGCTGCAAAACTGCCCGTGGCCCATGGGCTGCCCTGGGAACAGGTGAGCCGAATTGTGGTGGGAACGGAACACCGGCTCTCCAGGTTAGGGCCCAGCGCGGGCGAAAGCCTGGGTAATTGCATGGGGTCCCCGGAAAGGCTGGAGGCCTCAGGATGGGTGGGACAAAGGCGGCTTTGTTTAAGGAGGAAACTTCAGGTCCTCTGCATGAAGGGCTCATACTAGAGCTCTGAGCAGCACAGTTAGGGCAGGCTAGCCCAGCCAGCAGTGGAAATCCAGACCCTCATGGCCATGGTGTTTAGTAAAGAGCTAAATCCAAGAATGGAGGTGGAAGAGGGTCCGGGAAGCCCTGGCTTCGTCTCGGGGGTGGCACCTTTCCCGCAGCGGGAACGGTAGTGGCAGACCCTGTCTGAGCCAGGGTACCTGGCTTTTCTTTCAGCTACAGGACTGTGGTGAGACCCATGTACAAAGTGATGTACAAGACGGTGACTGCTCGAGAATGGAGGTGCTGCCCTGGACATTCAGGGGCAACCTGTGAGGAAGGTAGGACCTGGGACCTGGGACAGATTGTGAAGTGCCCACCATGCCTACGACCATCTTAGGTCCTCTTTATGGTGACTGCTGCCTCTTTGGGGCCCAGGAGATTCTTGTATCTGTTCTGCAACCTCCTTTTAAGTCATGCCATCCCAAGCTGTTTTTTCTAACTTGTGCTAGCCAGTTTTCCATCACTGTGACAGAATACTTCAGGCAATGCATTTACAGAGCAAGAAGGTTTATTCTGGTTCACACCTTGGTCTTAGGGTTTCAGGCCTGTGGGCGAGGCACATCATGGCAGGAATATATCACATGGATAATGTAGAAAAGGAGGGGAGGCTGTGCCACTGTGAGTGCACATTCTCGGTGGCCTAGAAGTCCCCTGTTCGGCCTCACCTCCATTTAAAAAAAAAAAGTTTCTTGTAGCCCAGGTTAGTCTTGTACTTTCTGTGTAGCCAAGTATATCCTCAAACTTCTGTTCCTCTTTCCTCCATCTCTCAATGCTGGGATTATAAGTGTGTGCCACCATGCCAGGTGCTTCCTGCATGTTAGACAAACACTCTAGCAACTCAGCTGCATCCAGCCCATAGGCCCCACCTCTTAAAGGACACACCAACAGTGCCACCCTGAGGACCATCGTTTCAGCATCTCAGCCTGTGGGGATGTTGAACACTCCAGAGATGCACTAGAGAAATCCATCCAGATGTTGCCACAGGATAGCATAGCCCATGGCATCTGGAGGCCAACAGCTATTAGAGCCTTCTAGGAAAGGGGGACAGTGCTCCACGCCATACAGCAGAAGAGACTAAGGCCCAACAAGTTAATGGGCACCCAGAGCAAATGGCAGAGTTGGAACTCAAACCCTGTGTGTTTGGTTCTATGGTCTGGAGTCTTTGGGGTACACTCATCCGTGTCCCATCCAGGGGTACCCTTTTACACATTCCCCATCTACATGTTAGTTTGGGGTGGCTCGGTGCTGGAGCCTGCAGCTCTCCCTGGGCCTTCCTGTCTCTTGTACTGCTGGGCTTTGGGCTGCTTCACTGCCTGGCTGAACCCATAGCAGAAGCGGTGAAAAGGTCAGGTGCTTCACCCCCAAGGATAACCGTACCAGAGATAGTGGCCCGGAATCAGTCTGAGAACCTGGCTTTAGAGACGGCCCCACAGCACACCGTTATGTCCCGATTCCAGAAACAGGGACGCATAAGTGGGCCTCTGCATTAAGGGAGCGAGGAGCTGAGTGGAGCCCCGCCTCCTGAGGTCAGAGAGGTGGAGTTAAAGGCCCACAGTCCATTGCGAGTTGATAAGCGTACTTGTCTAGGAATACACAGCTCCGGGTTCCATCGCTAACCTAGAGCTGGAGCTAGAGATAACACTGGGCCCAAACTGATGGAAAAACAAGAGAGGAGAGGATTTCACAGTTCCGAGACAGGGGTCTCCCGTGGAGCTGGAGAGGAATGGAGTGGCCATGCCCTAGATCAAACTCCCCACAGAAGGAACGGTGCAGTCAGTGTGGAAGACTAGAAGCCTGGACCAGTGCCCACCACCACCAGTAGAAGGGAAGCTGGAAGGTGCCCCAAGGGTAAAAAGGAAAGCTGGCTCCTAGAGGCAACTGCCAAGGAGACCACGAGGGTACTGTAGGCAAATCCCAGGGTGTGGGAGCTCAGGTGAAGCCTTATCAGACAATGGCTACTGTATCCCTGGGGCCTGGTGAGCAGGTGAGGGGATAGGACATGTGTGGGCAGCTGCTGGAGGCTGTGTGCCAGACCACTCTCAAGGTCTATCACTCCCTCTGTGGGGCCTTCAGGTCCCAGCCTGGGGACAGGATGCCCAGAGCTTCCAGGGCAGGCCAGCTTCACCACCCACTAGCTGTTAAACCTCCAAGCTCAGAACTCCCCAAACACTGTGCAAGAGCCCCGGCCTCCTGCAGGATGGCAGTCTAAGCAGTGTGCCTATCCACAAGGGGTGTGTGTGTCTGTGTCTGTGTGTCTGTGTGTCTCTCTGTGTGCAGTGGGTAGTGGGGCAGGGCATGGTGGTGCACACCTTTAATACCAGCATTTAAGAGACAGAGGCAGGCAGATTTGTGTGGGTTCAAGGCCAACCTGGTCTATATAGTGAGTTCCAGAACAGCCAGAGCTACACAGTGAGACCCTATCTCAAATCAAACCAAACCAGGGTGTGTGAGAGTCTTTAGTAAAGGGCACCAGACTGCCAGATGCACTCCCAGCAGTCTGGGCTCTCCATCTGAACCTCAGGGCTCCCACCCGTGAGACTGTTGACTCTGAGAATGGAGTCTGCTTCCCCGGACTGGAATCAGGTGCTGTGCCGGGCTGCATGGTGGTAGATGGGACAGGGGGGCCTGTTCCCACCTACGAGGCTGGAGCTATGGAGTGTAGGTGTCCAGCTCAAATATTCTGCCAAACTGTTCTGGGAATGGGGTTGGGAGTCATGGGGACAGTTCCAGCCCATCCTGGCCTCTGCCCTTCCTCCCCCAGCTGTTTCCCCTGATGTTGGCTGGTCTCAGAGCTGTGACATGACTGACATGACTGTGACATGACCCTGAGCCCCAGAGTTCCATCACCACTAGGGGCAGGAACTGGAGCAGCCACAGAAGAAGGCAAGCACTGCCGTTCTAAATTTTAAAGATAGTGGGCAGTTGTGCCTGGCATCTTTCACATACTCCAGACAAGTCTCTCACCTGCGCTGGGGGTTCCATGCTGGACCCGGGTTCTCAGACAGATGCTCAGCGAGTGGTTGTGCTGCTGGTGAGCTGGGCTGGTTCCTATGCATGTGGAATGGGGGCGCAGCTGCTGTGACAGTGAGTGAGGACAGACTCAGTCACTGTTCATGACTACCATTGAAGGTCCCATATTACAGATGAGGACTGTGAGGCTCAGAGAGGGGAAGGGACCAGCCTGGGCTCACACAGGATAAAAGAGCTAGAGTTGAGATTCACCCATCCTTTGGTCCTTCCAGGCTTTGGGAGGAAGCAGTATGGCTAAAAATGACTTGGCTCAGGCATACCTTGTGGAAACAGTGGAGAGAAAGATGCAAGGTCAAAACCTACTACACCGGCAGGGCAGGCAGAGAGCTGGCCCAGTGCCAGGGCCCTGGCTGGAAGGGAGGAAGAGTGTAGCGGTCACATCCCTTGGGCCAGCGCCTGAACCTGTGCAGAGGGTGGAGCTGCTGTAATCTGTCCCCACACCTCCTCACCCCATCACTCTGCCGAAGGGCTGCCTGCAGTCCTGCTGTGCACCAATCCTATAGTCCAGATGATAAAGCTGAGGCCCTCAGAAGGGGATGTAAGTAGTGTTGCCGGGTTCTCTCCAGCAGCATCCTGCCTCAGCCCTTCCTGCAATGACAGTGGCAAGGGGCAGGGAAGCCGCCACTGTCCTCTGCGGCATCACAGAGGCTCAGACGGGGGAAAGCTGTGGGCCCACTCAAGCTGGGTCAAATTGGCTCCGGAGTGGGTTTTGTACTCTGTAGCAGCATAGCTGGAGATGTCCCAGGGAGCATGCTCAGACAGGTGGGGTGCTGTGAGCACCCCCAGATGGAAAATTGGAGAAGCTGGGGCTCACCCTCCTCTGTTCATGGCTTCCCTGGAGAACATGGGGCCTCTGCTTCCCTTCATTGGTTCACTGTCTTCCACTGTCTGTCCTTTCCCTATCTGGAACCCCCACCACCCTTGTTCTCCGTGGTGGGGAACCGGAGATGGATGTTTACTTAGACAGCCCCAAAGCCTCGGAGCAGAAGCGAGGCAGATTATGGCCATACCCTTCCAGGGCCCCTCAGCTTCTCCACTTCCGGGGCTGGGCACATCCCACACATGTCTATTTGTGCCAGCCAGGTGCCAGGTACAGTGCCAAACCTGTGCTTTGCTTTATATGTTGAGTCCTGAGGGCTAAATATTGTGCCATCCCACCCATGGCCACCACCTATCACTCCCATTCCTGTCTGGAAAACTCAGCCAACCCCCCCTTCCAGCTGCTCCACCCGGGTACTGCCTCCTACATTCCTAGAACACCCAGCTTCACACCACACAGACCCTGTACCCTGTGCTCACACTGGCCTTCTCCCTGCATTCTGTGCCCTTGACAGTGGCTATCTTGTCTCCATGTGACCACCTTGGTGCTCCTAGGGGAGGCTGACTAAGCTGGCCCCTCTCTGACAGCATTGACTCCTTCAGCTCCAGTGCTCAGAAGGGTCCTGACATGAATCGAGTGTATAAAAACTGAATGAAACTTGCCCACCCTGAACAGGCCCGGCACATTGCAAGCCTTCTCAGAGGCCGCCCAGTTGGGCTGGAGGGTTCTTAGAGCTGAGAGCCCCAGCTCTGACCCTAAGCCCTGGCTTAGGCCACCGGCTGGTCATCAGCAAATATTTACATTTGCAAAGTAAATTCACACAGGAGACATGACCCAGCTAGGAAGGCTGTGGCCATGCAATCTGTGTGGTCACCAACCCAGGTGGGCCTGGACAGTCGGATGTGAACAAGGAAGCCCCTCCCCGAGCTTTGCTCTTTGGCAGAAAAGAAAAGTTACAGGGTTGAGGGAGCCCAGAGACACCCCCCCCCCCAATTCTTCCACCCTCGTTCTCAGTTTGGGGCAGGCTCGGAACCCAGCCAGCTTGTCCTGCTGTTTGAACTGGGCAGAATCCTGCTTTCTGGGTCTCAGTTCTTCTGTGCCCTAGTGTGTGGAAGATCACTTGGAACAGGAATGGGACACAGGGTTAGGGACTGCAGAGCGCACTACCAGCCTTAAAGGGGCCAGCACACTGAGCTGTGAGCACTTCAGTGGGACGTTGGCACTAGTGGGAGACCTGGGCTGACTAGGAGGACTTCCAAAGGTGACATAGGAACCTTAACTGTAGGAATTAGGGCTGGCAATGTGCACATGTAGATAGTTGGGGGTCTCAGGGTAGTGCCCCAGAGTCAGGGGGATCCATGGTTCAGAGTCTCCTGGGATAAAATGTGGGGTTTAGAGGAGGTTTTCAGGGCAGGGAGGCCTCAACTGTGAGCCTGCTTTAGGGTCCCTAGCCAAACACCAGTGAGAGGGATGGAATATGTTAACCATAGCAGGCCATGCCCTACCCACAGCATCTGTACTAAGCTGTGTGCACTAAAGGGCCCTCTTACAGCAAGGCACGTCTCTGAAAGGGTTTTTGTCTGTTTATCAGAGCTTGGGAGATCTGGCTGATTTCTGTGAACCCTGAATGTAAGCTCAATATTTTTGGTCCTTTTTGAGTTTATTGTTTCCTTAAACTTGCCTTTTCTTTTTTTCTCTGCTTTGCTGCTAGGGCTGGGACCCAGGGCCTTGCCTGTACTGGGCCAGACGTCTAACGCTGAGCTGACCACGCCCGAGCCCTACACTTAAATCATTTTTCCTTCAAATTTACTTTCTTTTATGAGAGTTTTGCCTACATGTGTGTATGTACATCAGATCCCCTGGAACTGGAGTTACAGCGGTTGTGAGCCATCATGTGGGTGCTGGGACCGAGCCCAGGGCCTCTGCGAGACAAGTGCTCTTAAGCCAGGCAGTGATGGTGCACACCCTTAACGCTCACACTCGGGGGGGGGGGGGGGCC